TTTGAACCATGTGGGATGGAGTTGTCTCCAGATCAAAAAGACATATAAAAAAAAGGAGAGAACCAGAAAGAGAAACAGACGTAAAAAAAGAGAGAAGGAGGAAAAGTGGAGAGAGAATGGATAAAGATTGGCTAGTGGTGCTGTTTTCTTTTCGTCACTTTTCTGAAGGGGGAAAATGTTAATCTTAAGGGACTAAGAAGGCACCTGGTCTGATATATTCCTAATGGTCCTTGGCCACCCTCAAGAGAAGCATGAACAAGGGGAGCCAGCCATGTGCACCAGAGGGTGGGGGCTCGCCTGACCCAAGCCTTGACTCCTAGCACGTGCATGCCTGGCTCCAACAACACCCACCAACGCCTCTGGCCCAACCCCCCACTCCCTCTGACAGCAGCCCCAGGTGGCATTTCCATCCTGGACAGGCTCAGCTCTGGTGGTGATAGCGAAAGCACTCCCCACCCAAGGGTGTGAGAGGGGTAAGAGGGTATACTGACCTTCAGGTCCCTGTGTACAATGGCATAGTGGTGAATGTATGTTACGCTTTCTAATATCTGATGGATACAGTGACTGCAAAACAAAATAGGGATGTGGGGAGGGGGAGAGGCAGGCAGGGGAGGAGGACAAGGAGAAAGAAGAAGGAGATGGGGAAGGGAAGGAAGAGGGGAGCAGAAGGAGAGAGGGGAAGAGAGGATGCCCCCAGGGGGCAGACAAGGAGGAAGGGCAGTCCCCACACAGGAAGGAAGAAGAGGAAGAAGGAGAACCAAAGAGGAGCAATGGGCAATAGGAGATGAACGGAAGGTATCCAAACAACACATGAGAGAGGGAACAAGTCCAGGAAGCCAAAGAATGGATTAAAGGGAGAAGGGGGTGAAGGGAAAGTGTGAGAAGACAGAGAGACAGATGGGGAGGGGGCAGGGAGGGAGGGAGGGTGGATATGGGGGAACGAGAAAAGGAGAGAAACAATGTTTTGAAAGCTTAGAGACCACAGGTGTTATCACAAGGTGTGTGCAGATGGCTGTTAATGGTGAGGGGTAGGGGTGAGATGGGACTCTCTGGTGACTAGGGGGAGGGGGAGGACACAGGCTTAGAGAGACAGTAGGGGAGGAAAGGAACTCAGGACCAAAAGTGCATTTGGGACCCAACAAGGATGGGCAGGTGAGCTCTGGGCCAACAAGGTGAGCCAAGCCAATCAATCAAGAAACATTCATTAAGTGCCTACTATGTGCCAGGCACCGTGCATAGCCCTTGGTTAGGGGGTTGAAGGGACTGTCCTTCTTCCACCTGGATGCTTGGTCTCAAGGCTCTAAGGACAGAGGCCTTCCAAGCACCAGCCAGAAGTGTTTTGCTTCAAGGTTATGGCACTGGCAACCTTCTTAAGTTGCTCAATGCTGAGCCTGGCACACCATACAATGAGGCTCTGCCCAGCACCCAGCACAGAATATGTGCAAATAGGCCCTGGATGACTTTTGAGGAGCTCACTCCTTCACAAAAACCCTATGGGAGGGTAGGCAAGATACGTCTTGTTATCCCCATTTTTCATAGAGTTGTCACAGTGGGTAGAACCCTGGGTTTGAAGTCAGGAAGACATGAGTTCAAAACCCTCCTCAGACACTTACTAGCTTGGTAACCCTGGGCAAGTCACTTAAACCTCTATTTGCCTCAGTTTCCTCAACAGTAAAATAGAGATGATAAACATCATCATCATCATATCTCCCAAGATTGTTGCAAGGATCAAATGAGATAATAATTGTAAAATGCTTAGCAAAGTGCCTGGCACATATTAAGCCCTAGATAAATGTTAGCTGCTGCTGCTACTACTGCTACTACTACTATTATAGAGAGACTGAGGACCTGGTTGGGCACCTCACAGAGAAAACTGACAACACTAAAGATCTAACATGAAAGATAGTGCTGGAGCCTTCCTAGTCAAATTATTTATGTAATTCTTACCTGTTTACCTGTTATATCCCACTGTACATAGTAAGTGCTTAGAAAATGCTTGTTGACTGAATGAATGACTACCACCACCATGCCCAATGCTTGAGGGAAAGGATTATTTTTTATTTCATCTTTGAATCTCCATGTGCCTAGTACATGCCACCTAGCTACCTGCCTAAGGATGATTACAGCATTTATTCATTGTCCAGAATTAAACACAACCTGGGCCCTTGGCTAGTGCCTCACACTCCAGACCTACAGACTCCCCTAACCAACCAGCTCAGGGCATCCCCAGAGATCAGGGATGACTTCTAAGTCATGCCCTTCAGGCCTGCTCAGTCATGTCTTCCAAGTCTACCTTGTCCTCTAGTTCCTACAATTTAACATCATGAACACAGAGGATTGGTGTTTATGCCAACTGGACCTTCTCTGTAGAGGCAAACACCAATAAGCTCAGCTCCCTTCTGAGCACCTCCTGATTCCTGCCCCCCCCAAATAAAGAAGGGGATGGAGTTGCAAAGTTTCGCTTTATTGCTTTGCTCATTAAAAAGAAATTCCACTCTTCCTCCTTTGGGAAAGGGTCAATCTCTGCCTGGGGCATCCATACTGTCAAATTAAAATGACCCTCCATGGAAAAACATCAGCATCTACTGTCTCCATGGGACTAAATGTAAGCTCCTTGAGGGCAAGCACTGTTAACTTCTGTCTGCATCCCTGGCACCTTCGTTTTATGGTGCAGCAGGATGATCAGGCTTGGATAGATTATGATCTCCATTATCACAAAGAATTTCCAAATCTATGGGAAAACAGACCTCTCATAGTATGTGACTATACCCAGTGCTTGGCACTTTTTTCTTTTTCTTTTCTTTTCTTTTTCCTTTTTCACTCCAGTTCTATGATCTCACCAGGAACTTAAAGTGAAGAAATTCTCTGTACCAAAGACAATTAGAAACTGTAGAGAGCTATATAGTCTTAAAAAGTTTTCTTGAACACTGAATGGTTAAGTAACTTTCCCAAGGTTATGTAGCCAGTAGGTATCAGAGGCATAACTTGAACCCAAGTTCTCCTCTGACACTGGGGTTAGCCCTCTATCTACTTCACCATGCTGCCTGTTATGTGGTACATAGTAAGCATTTAATAATAAATTGTTGAATTGAGTTGAATTTAGTGATTACAACAGCTAAGAGAAGGATGCTTGGTAATGATGGAAGGGTCCTAGGATCAGTAGTTCAGAGCTGGTAGGGACCCCAGAAGGCTTCTAGTATAACCCCCTGATTTTACAAAGAAGTTAACTAAGGTCCAGAATATTGGGAGAAAGAGAAAAGAAGGGTCAGCTACCCCCCAACCCCACCACCCACCTCACTCCTGCAGGCTGAGACTATGGTATCTACACCTCTCTCTTACTTCCATGTTGCCTCTTCCTAAAATGGCATTGGGTTGGGGACATTAAGTATTAAGAAACAGTCATTTATTAGCACTGTGACTGGAGAATCTTATTCTTGCCCAGGGTTTCCCACCCCAAAAACCTGGTTCTTGCAGTGAATAGAGAAGAGAACTACAGCTTTCTCTGTTTACCTGGGAGTGTATCCCATATAGTATTGTTAGCATGCTCTCTGTCCCAGGGTAGGAGTGAGAGCAGGGGATGAAGGCAGAGTCCTGGAGGTGCCCTTGGGGATGAGGCTCGTCATTCTGCCCCAAGGTTCACTGCCCACACTGTACTCTCGCCATCATCAGCACTTTATTCCATCTACAAATCCATGAGTAGCTTGTTCTGGGACCAGGGACCCTTTATTAAGAAGATCAATCTTGGAGCCCTAGTCTCGAAATGGCCTTAGCCTGCAAACATACTTGGGAATATTGGAGTTATAACTCCTGGGCATCAGCCCAATCCTTTCTGCTGCTATCCCACTGGAGCTACAAGGTGGATATTTACCCCCAAGAAACTTCCCTTAGGAAATACCACACTCAGCCACTACAACTTCTCCAAGATTCATAGACTTAGAGAATTTATGACCTAAAGAGGGCCTTAGAAGTCATCTGATTTATCCCCCTCATTTTACAAAAGGGGAAACTGAAGCCCAGAGAGGAGAAATGACTTGCTAAAAGTTAAATAGCTAGTAAAGTACCTAGGTGGCACAGCAGCTAGAGCCTCCAAGCCTGGAGTCAGGAAGACCTGAGTACCAACCTGGCCTTAGGCACTTACTAGCTGTGTGACTCTAGGCAAGTCATTTAAACCCTGTTTCTTCATCTGTAAAATGGGGATAATAATAGCAGCTACCTCCTAGGATTTTTGTGAGGTTCAAATGGGACAATAATTGTAAAAGTGCTTAGCAGAGTGCCTGGCATATAGTAACTGCTATATAAATGTTAGCAGAGCCAGGATTCAAAGCTGGACCCTGTTTCTATCTCTTGGCCAGTCTTTTTCCTTGGTTTCTTTTCCTGTGTCTGAGTCAGGCAGATGTTCCTGCTCTTGTTACCATCTACATTTCATCTGCTGTTGAGTAGTTCAGCCTCAGGTGCGAGGCTGAGATACCAATTGAAAACAATCCAGTGACAAAAGAAATCAAACAGGGCCTTGGACCTTCTTGTTACACAAGGCCAGGCTACAGTGAAGGCCCCTCCCAATCCTGGATCCAACAGGTCAGTCTTGGTGGGATGAGATAGATAGAAGCTCTGCTCCTGACAGCCCTGGTCTCTACTCTCATCAGCAAACACTGATCAGGTCCTTTTCTAAGAGTCTCAACCAGGACCAGGCATGCGCTTGTATATATTGGGGGTGGGTGGAGTTGCCTATAAATGCCAGGTGGGTTTCCAGAATCACAGCTGGGGATGGGGGGGGGGGGCCTTGGCTCTGAGCCTAGCAGTAGCAGCCATGCTGGTAGCTTTGGCTGTGAATCAAGGCTTCCTGTGACCCAGCCCCTCTGCCCAGGTTATGAATGGGTTAATGTTGCACAGGTATAGCCAGTATGGGATTGAGGAAACAGAAAGAAAGGTGGGGAGGAGAGTAGGGAGGGAGGAAGGGTGGGCAGAAGGAAGAGTGGGAAGGTAAGGGGCTCCAGACTCACCTGGCGTCGGCTTCACTGTAGTACTCTCTTGCCACAATGTCTTCAAAAAGCTCTCCACCAGTGACCCTGGAAGAGAAGGCAAAACAGGTGGAAGAAACATTAATTAGGCTCACAGGGACCAAAGGTTGGACTTGCTGTGCTTCAAGAAGAACAGGAGCAATGAGCAAAGCTAATGAAAGGCTAGGACCAGATGCATTCAAAGGTCCATCCAACCCTAATCAATCATCTAGTCCGTCCACATAAAGGATCAACAGAGTGCCTACTCAGTGGCAGGTACTCTGCTAGGATACAAAGACAGACATGCAACAGACTCTGCCTTCCAGGAGTTGGCATTCTACCAAGGGAGACACTATGCACACATACAGAAAAACAAAACAGAAACAAAATAGATACAAGGTCATTTGGGACAAGAGAGAAACCACAGAATCAGAGAAGTCATCTTGTAGAAGGTCTACATGGCCAAAATCTAGGATCCGGATTTATGAAGAGCTGAATTTCTGCTCATTAAAAGGAAGAACTTCAAAACAATTATAACTGTTCAAAAGTAGACTGGCTACCTTGCCAGGGTACCAAGTTCTTTGGCATTGGAGGCGTTTGAGTGGATGTAGGAGGACCCCTTATCTTGGATGCTCGAGGGCAGCACGGAATGGTGAATCAAAGCATTGAACATCGAATCAGGAAGAGTTGAGTTCAAATCCCACCTCAGATACTTAGTAGCTATGTGACCCTAGGCAAGTCACTTAACCCCCATGGGCCTCAACCTACGAAACAATAAAGTGGAAAAAATAATAGGAACACCCACTTCCCAAAGTTGCTGTGAGGCTCAAATGAGATGGTGTATCTAAAAGTATGTATTGTGAACCTCCAAGTCTATGTTAGTGTGATTTATAATTAGCAGGTAAGGCTCAGAAGAGATAAAATCTGATATTTACACAGTCTGCAAACTGCATTTTCTCATTTGAACCGCATAACTACCTTGTGAGGGAGGTCCTCCAGATATCATGGTTTCATTCTGCTGATGAGAGAACCAAGACTCAAAAACGTGGGTGACTTTTCCATGGTCTCACAGCTAGTAAGTATAAAAGGCAGGATTTTACCCCAGCTGTCCCTGACTACGAGCCTGGTGCCCCTTCTCATACCCTAGGGTCTCTGGTCTTTCCAACTTGGTGATTCTCTGATTCTCTAGGCCTAGGCCAATAATAGAGTCAGAACCCCTGAAGAAAAGTCCTGATAATCCTGATAATTCCCCCTGAGGCTCAGAAGCAGGATCAAAAAGTCAGAATCCAAAAGTGTGGCTTGGACTGCTCAGGTCTTCATGACTTCCAGATCCGGAGCCATAAGGGGGAAAGGAGAAGAGGCCCACTCCATAGCCTGCAGCTAAAGTGTGTGGCCAGAAGGCACAGAGCCAGAGACCTCTGCCCATCCTTCCCAACACACTTCAGTTATGCCCTTTCAGGGGGACAGGTAGCGCCCTCAATAGCAGAGCTGGGTAAAAATCCTGAATGTCAACAACAAGTGAGCATAGCCTTTACACAACTGCCTGTCCATATGCTTCTCTCCCCTTGGGCTCCGGGGCCACATCTGGCTTTCTTTCTTGTGCTTCAGAAGGGTCTACATCGTTGCCTGCACTGATGGCCAATTTAGCAGTGATCATTTCAAAAAGCCTATCAGTCCAGAGGAGGAAACAACTGTCCAGAGAGACTGCTGGGAAGCAGATGAGAGGCGAGCCCCGAACAGGATCCCCTAAATGACGGCAGTACTCTACCGAGTAAATCCCAGAGTCACAGGCTTGACAGAATGCCACCTAATCTAACCACTACTGAAGCACAACTCTCCCCCATGCCCCAGCAATAGGACACTCAGCACCTGTACCACCACAGTCCATTCCATTTTCAGTCCACTCTAACTCATAGGATCTCCCCTTATCAGAGGTGTTCAAGCAGAGACTGGTATGTTTAGTAGGGATCCTTGTTTGTGTGGTTCCTTCTTCTTTCTTGAAGAGGTCATGACATCAGAAAGATAATGACAAGGACTTGAAATTGACTTTGATCTGAGTGAGGGAGGGCTGTGCAGTCACCAACCTCACTTTCTCCTCCAGAGTCATTAGGGTCCAATAGCCAGATATAGATCAGGATGACTGGAAATGGCCCAGGATGTAGTGGGAGACCTTGGCCCTTTTAAGCTAAGGTCTTTTCAGGTTCTCACTTTGAGTGAGGCAACACCCATTCAGTGAATAGGCCTCTTTAAGGCATGAGTCAAGGGATGGCCCCTTTAATTTAAAAAAAAAATCAAACGGGAGGGGAAGACCTTCAGGGTTGCTGGACAAAAGAATTACTATTTACATTCACTCTAAGCCTGGAGGACCCAAAAAATAACCATTAAGTGGTGCTTAGGCAGAAACCTATTGTTTGTCCAATCCATAAGATCCAGAGTGAAATGGGTTTCAGGCTTGGTCTTTGAGAAAGAAATCTAACCAGTAAACCCCAAGCTAACTAGGTAGCTTTCAGTCATCAAAATTTACCTTCCTTTGAGCAGAACACCCTCAGGTAAGGGGAGGGGAAGGGGGAGGAAAGGGGAGGAGAGGAGAGGGAAGGAGCTGAGATGCCCAACTGGAACTGGCCAGCTGGGTCAGATCCTTGTTTAGTCCGGTAAGGGTGGGTAGCTGGCCTGACAAGCCTTCCAAATCTAAAATCCTGCAATTCCGTGACCCTAGGATCATATTCATTATAGTAAGCCCAAGTCTTCCTTCCAACAGCTTCTCCCCATTGCTTCTGGCTTTCTTAGGTCAAGAGGGATGCAGAATGGAATGGGGAGTCAGAAAACAGGTCAGGACTGGCACAAAGAGTATCATTCCCCAGCTCAACAGGAGCAGGTTTTATTGCATCAGGGAGTCCTCAGAGGCTAGCAGCCCAATATTACCTACCTATACTCACTTATTCAGTATCTGGTTACTCTAGATTAGGGAGTGAGGGCAGAGCTCTTGGAGTACCATATGGAATACCTTTGTGGCTACAGGGAGGGGGTACTGGGGATAAGGTCTTATGGCATAAAAGCTCTGTATGGCAGAGTAGGATTTTTCCCCATCACCCACAACTGAAAGAGCTCCTTTAGTAGGATAAACCCTGGGATATTAAGAGCAGGTGTGCTCAAGCTTTGTGCTCCTATGCCTGTAACCTCTGGACATTGCATCTTTACATGTGAGACCCTGATTTCATACACAGTCTCATGCTCTAAAATCGATCAAACTGTATTTTTGTATAGTCATTTTTTCAGCAAACTGGCTTTGCCTTGCTCATTTCCCCTCTCTCTTTCCTTCTCTATCCTTCCCCTACTATTTTCTCTGATGAGCACATTTTCCAAAATGAGGCAGGATGGCTCACCAGGGAAGGCTTGCTCAGAAACACCCCCCTCCCCACCTACAGAGACCCATTCCCCTGGTCCCTCAGCTCCCTCAGGCTGTTTGCTGAGGGGAAGTCAGGAGCCCTTCCAGTCCCAGCCTTGGGAAGAGACCTAATTCCAGATGGCAGATTCAGGACATTCACGCAGTAGCTCAACCCCCCCCCCACCCCTGCCCCTACAACTCAGTCCTCTTTCCAGGTAGAACCTCAGGTTAGGGATGTAAATACCTGGGAAGAATGAGAATTGTTGAGAGACTTTTCTGTGTTTTGGTATTGAATGCTTGGACCTCAAGCTATGGCTTCTGTTGATGCCATGATAACTCTAGGGACGGGATAGGAAGGATGGCAGGGAGATAGATGCCAGCCTCCTGTGGGGCAGCATCTGGCCACTTCCAAATGCCTTGTAGCCTCCAATGACTCCTGAGCTGCCTTGGAGGAAGCCAGGCTTGTAGCAGCAGTACATGAAGCAAGACTCAGCTGGCCCCTCTCCATAAGGCGTCCCAGTGGGGTCTGGTGAAAAGGGGAACACTGAGGGGAAGGAATGATCTCTGCACTCCAGAGCTGCAGCCCCACCACTAGTGTCCTCTTCGGACAATGCCCAAGGGAGCTAGAAGAAATCTCTCTGCAGACCTGAACTAGACAAGTCTATTTTCTGCAGCTTCTGCCCATTGGTTCCAAGGTGGAAGGTACAAAAAGGCAAATTTAGGCTTACATCAGGAAAAAATTCCTAACAATCTGAGTTGTCATATATGGCATGGACTACTTTGTGAAGCTGAAAGGAACCTTAGAGGTCACTTAGTCCAACCCCCCCCCCATTTTGTAGATGAGGACACTGAGACCCAGAGAAGGAAAAGTGATTTTCCCAAGGTCACACAGCAGAGAGCCAGGATTTGAACCCAGCTCTGCTGACTACAAATTTGGTGCTTTTTCCACAGTACTACATTTTTTTCTAGCTGGAAGCCTACATGGAAATAGTAGAGTTACCCTCCTTGGGCAAGGGGAAGGGGGCAATCCTTTCTGCTTCCCTTAGTGCCTCCAACTCTCCCACTCCACTCCATTACTGAGCATCCTGAAGCTGAAGATGTCTTATCACCTATGCTGTAACTTTTCAAAGTAAGGCTGAGATCCCCTCCAACTCTAAAATTCTGATTCTGTGATTTCACTGGGGAGAGGAGGAATAGCCCACTGGAATATACCCTTATTTAGCCCATTGACCGGCCCATCTCCCTACTTAGACGTAAGTGAAGGATTTAGGGATACATTAAAAATCAAAGTCCTGTCCTTGGGTGAGGAGGGACATGATGGGACACCACCACCCATCAGCCCTTGCTGCAAGCTTCTCAAGCTGATAGGGGAGTTCTGAGAGTTCCTGCTATTCTTTATCTGCCTTCTCCTTCCCACAGGACTCAGGGTTGGTCCGAGAAGGTCAGTACTACATGTTACTTTCCAAAGGATCCCGTGCACTAATGATGAGGGTCATGGCCTACATCTTCTGACCTCTTCCCATCCCCATGGTTTATCTCTTGACCTGACAGAGCCCTGCTATTCTGATGTGTCCTTGGTGCTGGTGTGGAATATTTTAGGCCTAGCCCAGACACTAAGAACCCCAGGGCAGCAGGTTGATTCTGACTTTCCCTGGACATTTGAAGTCATTAGAGGGGTGTCATAACCAAACCAGACCCCGTCCTTCTGCCCCCCTGAATAATATAAACCCCTGAGAAGGCTCTGTTTCAGACTCAAGCCTCCTCTCAAGGGCCTCTTGGAAGCAGAGCCAACCCAGTTTAGATGTGGGGATGGAAGGGACACCGTTGTTTGTTTGTTTGTTTGTTTGTTTGTTTGTTTGTTTTTTATAACTGTCATTGGCCCTTCACATCCCCTGACACTGACCCCCCCCCCTCCTGCCTCCGTAACTAACAACTCCCTCATCATCATTGAATTCCTCACCCTATCCTTCAATTTCACAGTCTCCTAGAAATATGCTGAAATGTCTGGGAGGTATCCCTTTAAGAGTTTCTTTGGGGTCCAATGGAACTGGGGCAATAAGGTCATTTGGGGTCATGATTTCAGTGATGTTAGAGCACTAAGGAGACAGTTCCCCTTGCATTGTGTTTTGCATGCCCATCCCATCAGGCCCCCTCCTTTTCTCCTCCCCCCTCCATCCAGGCCTGTCAGAGGCTCCCTCCCACCCACAGCCCCCTCACTGTGCTCTGCTCTGTCATCTCAGAGAACGAGCCCTTCTGCAGCAACAGTCCCCGTTCCTCCTTGCCCCCACCCACCATCATCCCCCATCTTCTCTGCACCAAAAATATCTGCAGCCATTTGTTTGCAAACCCAAACTCCCAGGACATTTCTCCCTCCTCAACTTTTAGGCCACCTCTCTCCTTTGAGGAACTGTGCACCAGATACGGCATCTCTGCAAGAACTGGGAGGAGAACAAGCGAGCACCAGACCCTGGCCAGAGAGGCCAGCTGCTCCAGGGGAACTGGGGACCAAAGGAGACAAAGCGGTCACAGGTCTGGGCATCGTCTGGAGGTTTCTTTGTCTGAGTCCAGAACCACCTTCAGAAGGGTGACCCAGTAATCGCACCTTGAACCCCTTAATAACCAGGCTCTCAGGCAGCAATGAAGGCAAACACTGGACCTAAGTTTAAATCCTTGCTCTTCCACTTACTCCCTTTTTGTAATCTTGGGCAAATCACTTATTCTCACCAGGACTCGGTTTCCTTATCTGTAACATGATGGGTTGCAACTAGATGATTTCTAAGGTCCCTTATCCCCTTCCTGATGCCTCCAAATAACCAGGGTCTTAGGAGTGGCATAGATGTCTGTCTGTCTGTCTCTCTCTCTCTCTCACACACACACACACACACACACACACACACACACACACTCTACCCCTTAGGTACTACCTACTCCAAAAAAGGTACATTAAGATTGAGATAAGGTCGATTCTGGTAGCAATTTCTGTTTCTTTTGTCCCGAGGAGCCCAAAGATGCAAGGCTGGGTCCATGTAGCCCTGGCCCACATTAATGTGAACTCCTAATACCTACAACTTCCCATTGCCTTGGGCAACAAGCATTTTTAGAAATAAAGAGCTAATGTTAGGCTCTCTAGCAGCTTTTTTTCAATTCACAACCAGCTGAATGTGTGGGGGTGGGGAAGAAAGAGGAGTCCAGTGAAACTATAGCAACAGGATGCAGGGAGCCAGCCACTGCCTCCTGGACCAATGGCCTGGAGGTTTCCTTCCTTCCAGGGCTGTGCAGGGACATGCCAAGGTCTACATGGCTCCCGCTCCAGGGTCTCAGCGCGGCACTGACTCACACGGAACAGCTAAACATAGCCTGCTGCTTAACAGGCGCTGTCAGGGAGCAGGGGGAGATAAGATCACCCGGCTTCTATATCTGGCAGGAAGTGAGAGGCAGCTGAGTGCCTCCTCACCAGCCCCCAGATGCTCATTCGGGCTGGAGCAAACAAGTTGTTCTCTGTGGTAGAGCCCCCATATGCACACCTGCACACACAGACGTCCCCCTGGAAGGCACAGGACCCCCACAAGCATAAGCCAGGATCAAGACAGGCACCTGGTGTCACGGGAGAGGGGCTGGATTGGGAGTCAAGGGTTTCGATCCGAGGTTTCCCACTTCCTAACTGTGTGGCAGTGGGCAAGTGACCTAACTTCTCTGGGTCTTACTTTTCTCATCTGTAAAATGAGGAAGTTGGACTACACGGCCTCAGATTGCCCTTTCAGCTCTAAATATATGATCAAGGGGAAAAGGAGAAATTCCCTCAGGAGGGCATCACTAGGCCTTTGTTTCTGGCTACTCTTCTCACTCATTTCTTGGCCAGGAACTAGTTGGGCCCTAGAGAATAAGATTCTGCTGACCTTTTCCTCTGAGGAGCAGGCTAGCCAGCAACCAGTCCAGGATAAGGCCAGAGGTTACTGGCACTCCATATTCCACACCACAAAAGGGAAGGCAAAAGAACAGATTTTTTAAAGAGTTTTCTCTTTCAAACTCCTGAATGGTTTTCGGTTTTTTTTTTTGTAACCTTAATGCAACTGGGAAAGGAACATGGTTTGGAGGCTGGGGGGAAGTGGTCAGGGTTAGGATTAGGGCTGGTCCTCAGGGGCAGGGAAAGAGGAGGGGAAGGAGACAGGGAGAAAAGGAAAGCGAGAGAAAGAGATGGGCAGTAAGAAAGAAACAGGAGGATGAGCACTGGGGGTGGGGAGAAGGTGGGAGGATGGTGAATGAAGAGGCCAGGGGTGCCTTCCTGCCCACCAGGCGGGAAAACCCAACCAAAAATATAGGAAAGGTATAAAACAAGTCCCCAGAAGGAGGAATCACCATCACATCCTATATCTGCCTGATAGAGCCCTGACTTGCCTCTTCTGTGGAAGCTCATTATGCAGCAAGGGAAGGAGCTGAAATGAGGGAGGAGTAACTGCATGTGAGCTGCGGGTCACCAGAGAGTTCAGATCTAGCACCCTCGGGACCACCCCCTCCAACCCTTCCCACCCCCAGCTTCAAACAGCTTTCTCCCATACTTACAGATCAAACACGAGATAGTGGAAGCCTTCCTCCGAGATGCTGTCATGGAGACGAACTGTGAAAACAAAAGATATAGGGCACATGAGGGCGAGCAATCCATCACCCAAGACGCTCAGTGCTGGAGCCAGCTGGCCTGCCAAGGAGGTACAGCCACTGACGGAGAAGACCTGAATCCCAAAGCAGGTGAGAGCCAAAGGGCAACAGGGCCTTCTGAAGAATAGCCACCATGTGATGCAATGATAAGACAGCCACATGGCCTGATTCAGGGTTGGAGGGCTGGGGCTCAGCTCCTGCTTCTGCTACTTATTTGTCATTCCATAAAAGACCAGGCAGTTAGCCTTTCTGGGACTCAGTTTCCTTATCTGTAAAGTAAGGGGGTTGGACCAATTCCAGGATAGATTCAGAGCCGGATCTTAGAGGTCATGTAGTATAACCCCTTTATTTTACAAATGAGGAAACTGAGGCCAAGAAAGGTCTGGCAATTTGTCCAAGGTCACACAGCTAATAAGTTATAGAGTCATGATTCAAACTCAGCTCCTGTGACTCCAAATATTTCCACTGTAGCAGGCTACCACTACTACATATGGCCTCTGGAGTCCTTTCCAGCTCTAAAACTATGAATATGGGAGATCCCCTTTTCCTTGTAAGATCTCTAGGTTCCTGTGAGAGGGACCATTGGGAGACACAAGGACAGTAAAAGAGTGAGGGTCAGTGGAGGAGTCCAGTCCAGAAAAAGGCTAAGCCTCAGTTCCTCTATACAAAACCACAAATAAACTCCACCAATGGCCAACTTATGACATGGAAGTCTACCTATTAGAAGGTGTCATATTTTTAGGTACTTTTCATAAAGAACATTGAACTGTCACTCAAAATGAATGGATTCCCAGTAGTCACAGGCAAATGTCCCTGAATTTTTATCCACACTCCCATAGCCACCTTCCTTTCACCTACCATTCAATTCAACTGAACCAGCAATTACTATGCACATACTTTGTGAGAGGCACAAGGGGGCAGGGAGGGCTAGGATAAGGTTGGAACAATTTGTACACTGATAAGGAAATACAAAATATATGTGTCATACTCCTAGGGGTGGGCTCAGGCAATTCCCTGAAGGACAATCCTGTTATACAATGCATGTGTACAGAGATGTGACTCTTGATGGTGGAGGGACCTCTGAGCCTGAATCAACAATACAGGTGACATGAGAGAGATGTGAATCCTATTTGGTTCTGAAGACTTCAGAGGAGAAAGGGGTCCAGTCTGAGAAAGACAGGGAGAGAGGGAAGGCATGGACTTTGAATGGCAAATGGAAGCCCTTCTCAGAGCTACCAAGCATGTGAGGTTTTTGGGTGAGATTTTTCTCTCCTTGTGTGGGTTCAGATTTTATCTTGTTCCTGAGTGGAAGAACCACTGACTCTTATGTGTTCTATCATCTAATCTAATTTGTATAATTGTTTATGACTTGCTTCAATAAACAAGTTTGCTTGATATGCACAATTTTCTTTTTCATAATAAGTGTTTGTGGCAAGGAGCTAAGCTGGCCAAGAGTAAGCTCACTGTTACCCTTCCCTTTGGGGGTAACCAGGGAAAGTGTCTTTTATCCTGAACCCCACAAACAGCATCACACCTCTAGACTACAAATATCCATCATGTAGTGCATAGATATCTTTCTAGCCCAATAACTCTCTTGGAAATGGCAGAGTGAAGGTCTGAGGGGTCAGACACAGGCCTCCTTTTGCTCCCCACAAAAGTAGAAAGAGTGATCTCCCCAGAGACAAGGCAGGCCAGATCCCAGATCATACTGAACACAGGCTACCTTAAGTGTCAGATCTTATATGTTAGATACACAAAGTAAACGCAAAATAATTTTTGGTGGGGAAAGGGCAGAGAGTCCTGACAATTGGGAATCAGGAAGGACTCATGTAAGAGATGGCTCTTGGAGCAAAGCATTGACGGGAATACTTTTCCTCACCCTCCCACCTTTTGGTTTTCCTTCTCTCTTCAGTTACCGCCATTTGCTTTCCTTCTGAGCAGCATTGGACCATGGAAAGAACACTGGACAAATAGGACACCTGGATTCTAAAACTGGTCCTGTCACTAATCAGCTGTGTGACCTCAGATCAGCTCCTTCAGCCCCACCAGGCATCAGTTTCCTCATCTATAAAATAAGGTGACCGATTAAGATGACCTCTAAGACTTCTTCCAGCTCTAGTGCTTAAGGATGACAGTTGACCTTTCAACACTGTTCCCTATCTCCCCCACTATCCTAGAGGGCCAAAGCTGACCGGCTATGGATATAAAGGAATACTTGGGTTCCCTTAGGGGATTCCCAACAAGCTAGACGTGGCAGAAGATTGTAGGATCACATCCAGAGCTGGACGGGGCCTCAGAGGTCATCTAGTCCAATCCCATATTTTAGAGGAAGCTGAGGCCCAGGGAGGGCGAGTGACCTGCCCTTGGTTACAGGGAGAGTGAACCTCAGAGGAGGAATCTGAGCCCAGATCCTTTAACTCCAGAGACAGTGAGTACCGAGGTCACAAGGCTCACCGTGGCATTCAGCTGAGTCACCTGGAATTGGAAGTATTTGGTGAGCTGGAGACTTTTTTGCCCAGCCACCATCCATATGAGATATAGTGGGGGGTAGCAAGAGAATGGAGTAAAATCATAAGCACAGCCCTGAGGTGAGCCAGCCCCCTCACTCCTCCTCCTCTTTTGATGAGAAATGTTTGGGGTTTAGTCAAGCAGACTGTTTGCCTTTAGTCTTTGTAACCAAATATATCTGGCTACTCTGGGAATGTGCTGTAAGTGGCGCCCAAGTCCGTCTCTTCCCTCCCCTTTGAAGTGGCACCCCGTCTAGCTGGCTCATCACTTCCCAAAGGGTGGGAGCTAAAAGCCAAGGGCTATCTTGAACTGCTCGTGCTCCTGAAGTCAGAAGAAGGCAGATTCTGGCTCAGCATAAGGGGCAAACCTTTCTAATAACTAGAGCTGTCCAGTAATGGTCTGGGCAGCCTCAAGAGGCAGCAAGCACACCTTCCCTGAAGATAACAGAATAGAGGCTGGACATCCATCTGTCCAGGTTGCTACAGCAGGGAATTCTGCCAGGTGTAGGAAGGTTAGAGCAAATGGCCTTTTTGATCCTTTCCAACTCAAAGATTCCTCAATTCCCTGCCAGCTCCTGGTTTTCCCCCAATGTCAAATGAGGGGTTTGGAAAGAGATCACTTTGAATGCAAGCATGAAGAGAAGGAAAGAGAATGGTCCTGAGAGGTAGAGAAGGACACCTGAGCTAATCATCCCCATGCTCTTCCAAGGGACCGCTATTTAGTTCCCTGCCTTTTTTTTTGACAATAATTTATTTCTCAGAGTCCTGGACCCAGATATTGCTATGAAGAAGAGAGTCCCCAGGTGATCTACTTAGCTTCATTTGTGCTAAGAAGCTGGCACACAATCTGGAGTTAGCTACAGTGTGGAGTCTAGGAAGGAAGGTGCCTGATCTCAAGCTCTAACAACCCATACATACAGGTACACAGAACAGATTCGAGGTAACCTGACAACCTGAGGTACAGAGGGAGGCAGTGGTCCTTGCTTTACATTTAGGGACCTATGACACGTTGCATCCTCCAGCAGACTATAATCTCCTTTGGGGAAGGAGCTGCTTCAGTTTTGCACTTGTATCACAAGAACTCAGAGCAGTGTCTGCCTGGCACACAGTAGGCACTTAACCAATGCTTGCTGACTGCCTGATTAATAATAATAATAATAATAGTTCATATTTATAAATATATGGCACTTTAAGGTTTGCAAAGTACCTTAACAGACATTATTTCATCTGAGCCTTCCAATAACCCAGTAAAGTTGGTGATATAGGTATTATCACTCTGGACAATTAGGGCCATCTTAAGTAGAAGGAGTTGCCTTGAGGCAGGGTGCATTTCCTCTCATTTCCTCTTACCTTTCAGGTAAGCCTGAAGAGTAAGCAGAGGGGTTTCTGGTTCAGGCATGGGCTGCAGAAGAAGACCTTGGAATTACCTCTCAAGTCCACAATCAGGGGTTACATGTGATTCTATTATTCTGTGGTCACTCTTGTTGGTTGGTTGGTTTTTACCAAGCCTGATTCCAAGTCCATCCCATTTAGCCACCATGCCATGAGCTTCACCATGCAAGAGCTCTCCTTTCTAAATATTGCCACCTATGGTATTTCAAGAGCTGCCACTGCCAGGTAGACAGCAAAAATATCCCATCTACATGGTGGCTACAAAGTTCAGCCAGATGGTTCCACCCAGCCAGGGAAGATGGGGAGGTAGGGGATGCAATCTCCACTGGACCTTGAAATCAAATCCTCCCTACCTGGAATGGAAGCCTGCTTCTGCCACTTACTACCCATGTGACCTCAGACAAGTCACTTTATTTTTATAGGCCTCAGTTTCCCCATTTATAAACAGGGAGATGGATGGATAAGATGACCTTGAGTTTGTCCCTTTCTGGCTCCAAAGCTGTGATCTGGATCCAGTTCTCAAACAGGTGCCCCCACATCGCTGTGCTGCTTGGGATATTGCTGCTGGTAGTGCAAGGGTTACTGGGAAGGAGTGACTCCTCTCCCAGACCTCCAGAATATCCACTTATTCCAAGCACCGAAGGGCAAGCTGCGCTTTGAGCTTTGTCCCCTTTTCTTGCTGCCTTCCAATTCATGTCCTAATTTCTGACTGGCTGGGAGGTGTCCTCCTTCTCACAACCCTTTCCTTCCATCAGGGTGGGCCTGAGATAATGCGGCTTAGCAGGGAAAGCATCTGCTTGGGCCAGTGAGCAGGAATGTGGGCTGAATGTCCTCTGCCCCCTTACCCATCATGCTGTAGGGATCAGGGGCCCCAAGAGGGATGCCCCAGCTACAGCGGGGCAGCTTTGTACGGTGGGAAAACACTGCATCTAAGACATGGGAGACAAGTTCTAGTCCCAAGTCTGAAACTAATTAGCTGTGTGACCTTGGGCAAGTTGCTTGACTTTCCTGGGCCTCAGCTGCTACCTCTATAAAATAAGGGGGTTGGCCAAAAAGGAGAGAA